AATGTCACGCTACAATGGAAAATTTTTCAATGGGAAAAACCCCTACATCTCCATCAGTTACAAGATTTTGGATTGAGATTTTTATAATTATTATCAAAATTGATGGAACACTGATGACGAAATTCTTAAAATGTTGAATATTAGAGATAAAATTTCGGTAACTAATGGAAATTTACGATATTTCCCATAGAAAAATTATTCATTGTACAATGATATTTTAACCACCCTGTACATATGGAAATACCTAACACTGGAAGCTTTCTCGAGCTACGTCGGGATTGTCTAGCGAGCTATGTTAATAAATTAAGCCTAAAATTAGTAACCACGTGACGCACATTATTCTGTTGAATGGCCGTTTTGAAAAAAGAATATTGAGAGTTAAAATAATGCATTCCCTGCTTTGTGTGGAGGAAAAATAAGGGAAAAATTCAAGCGAAGAAGTTTAACTTGAATATTCTTCTTCAAGGCTATATTAATTGTGTGTGGTTGGCTAGGCTCATAAAATTTATAAATTAGTTTAAATGAACATTAAATTTTGAATTTAACAGAAATAGTGTAATTCTATTATTTATAAATAAAGGTACAAATACATGATCTATTCTATCAAAATAGCCCTTTTTTCAGGCACATTATTAATTTTTTCTTAGTACATTATAAGATACATTACACAGCAGATGTAGCCATCTCATTCAATACAGTAGCTCATATTACCCGAGACGTAAACTACGGATGGCTTCTACGAGTCATACACGCCAATGGAGCCTCTATATTCTTCATTGCCCTGTACCTCCATGTAGGACGAGGGATCTACTATTCATCGTATACTTATACAATGACTTGAACGATAGGAGTCTTAATCTTATTTTTAGTAATAGCAACTGCTTTCATAGGGTATGTATTAATTTGAGGACAAATGTCATTTTGAGCCGCCACAGTAATTACAAATTTATTGTCAGCAATCCCTTATATAGGTTTAATAGAAATAATTAAAATCAAAATTGTTAGGGTGTGGTCATGGAAAAAGATTAGTTGTTCTATTAAAGGTGAAGAAGCGTTTTGGAACCCTAAAGCCGCTCAAGTTGCAATTTTTAAAAGAATAAATTATTCATTTTTGAATTTTAAGTTCACTGCACTAATCTGCCACATTAAAAATGTGTGACTAAGGATAGCTCCGAGTATGAGTGTTCGGATGGGGGTATATTTTGAAGTCATTCAATTGATGAAGAGTAAATAAAGTTATGGACTCTAGGACGGGCAGTCGAAATAGACTCCCAAATAATAAAGCTGAATAGAATAACGGCAGCTACTGAGGTATAACTTCCTAACGAAGATAATACGTTTCAAGTAGTAAATGCATCGGGGTAGTCTGAGTAACGTCGAGGCATGCCGTTTAGTCCTAGAAAGTGTTGGGGGAAAAATGTTATATTAACCCCAATGAACATAGTATAAAATTGAATTTTTAGTCACTTAGGATTTAAATTTACTCCTGTAAATAAAGGAAATCAGTGAATTAAGCCTCCTATAATTGCAAACACAGCCCCTATAGATAAAACATAGTGAAAGTGGGCGACTACATAGTAAGTGTCGTGAAGTACGATGTCAAGTGAAGAGTTAGCTAAAATAATTCCTGTGAGACCCCCCACAGTAAATAAAAATACAAAGCCTATGGCTCATATTAAAGTTGGGGTGATAATTAAAGCTCTTCCTTGAAGTGTCGCCACTCAGCTAAAAATTTTCACTCCTGTGGGGATGGCAATAATTATAGTGGCGGCTGTAAAGTAAGCACGAGTGTCTACATCTATCCCCACAGTAAATATATGATGTGCTCAAACGATAAATCCTAGAAGACCGATTGCTATTATCGCGTAAATTATACCTAATTGACCGAAAGTTTGTTTTTTACCTCTTTCAAATGTAATAATATGTGAAATTATGCCAAACCCAGGAAGAATTAAAATATAAACTTCTGGGTGACCAAAAAATCAAAACAAGTGTTGGTACAAGATAGGGTCGCCGCCCCCGGCAGGGTCGAAAAATGAAGTATTTAGGTTACGATCTGTTAAAAGTATTGTAATGGCTCCAGCAAGAACTGGAAGGGAAAGCAGGAGAAGGATAGCGGTTAAAAAAACTGATCAAACAAATAAAGGAGTTCGATCCCAAGTCATACCCCCAACTCGTATGTTGATGATAGTTGTAATAAAATTTACTGCCCCTAAGATTGAACTTGCCCCAGCAAGGTGAAGTCTGAAAATTGATAAATCTACAGAAGCCCCAGCGTGGGCGATGCCTCTTGATAAAGGGGGATATACAGTTCAACCTGTGCCTGCTCCTCTTTCCACCAGTCCTCCTGATAAAAGTAAGATTAATGAAGGTGGAAGAAGTCAAAAACTTATATTATTTATTCGAGGGAACGCCATATCTGGGGCGCCGATTATTAGTGGAACTAGTCAATTCCCAAACCCCCCAATTATAATAGGTATAACTATGAAGAAAATTATAATAAAAGCATGGGCTGTTACTATTACATTATAAATTTGGTCGTCTCCAATAAAAGAACCTGGTTGACCTAATTCCAGGCGGATTAAAACTCTAAATGCAGTGCCGACCATAGCAGATCAAACTCCAAAAATTAAATACATAGTTCCGATATCTTTGTGGTTGGTTGAAAAAAGTCAACGTTTCATAAATAAAATGGCTGAGTTTAGGTGTTAAACTGTAAATTTAATTACGAGTGGTGTACTCTTTTATTATAATGTTATGTATTCAATTATGAGTTAGGATTGCAAATCTTAAAGTGGCGTTAAGCTCTTAACTTAAAGTTTAAGGCTCCCATCTTAATTAAAGCTTTGAAGGCTTTTAGTTTTATTAAATATTAGTACAGTGAATTTGGGGGGGATTCGCGGTAGATAACGCTACACTCACGCGATTTTTTACATTCCACTTTGTTCTACCATTCATTATCGCCGGAATAACATTAGTACATCTCCTATTTTTACATCAAACAGGATCAAATAACCCCCTAGGAGTTAATTCCGACTCAGATAAAATCCCCTTTCACCCATATTATTCATTTAAAGACTTATTTGGATTTATTATGCTTATATGAGGATTAGTATCGCTAGCTTTAATATACCCCTATCTTCTAGGAGACACAGAAAATTTTATCCCTGCAAATCCTTTAGTTACCCCCGTTCATATCCAACCTGAATGATATTTTTTGTTCGCTTACGCTATCCTTCGGTCGATCCCTAATAAATTAGGAGGGGCTGCTGCTCTAGTAGTGTCTATTGCCATTTTGTTAATTTTACCTATTACTCAAAAAAATAAATTAAAAAGAACTCAATTTAATCCTTTTAATCAAATAAATTTTTGATTAATGATTAATATTGTAATCTTATTAACTTGAATTGGAGCCCGACCGGCCGAAGACCCCTATATTCTTGTAGGGCAAATCTTAACTTTAATATATTTTTTATATTTTTTGACAAGACCTTTAGTCACTTTAACCTGAGAAAAAATTCTTAAATAATGTAAATAATTATTTAGCTTAAATAAAGCAATTATCTTGAAAATAATTTACAGGAGTTTAAGCCTCCTAATAATTTAAATTAAGAATTATACCCATGAAATCTTAAAGAAAACAAAAAACACCAAAATCATAATCCTTGTCCCCCTAAAAACTCCACTCAACCTTGGTCCGCAAGATTTAAAATTTTTACGCCGTACTTAATAATAGGAGTCAGAGCAAAAGTAGAAATAAAAGGAAGCAGTCACATAGAACCTAAAAAATAGTCTAAACCTGAGGTAGGGCTAATTTTCTTTATGACCTTAAAGTCTACTAAGAAAAAATAAATAAAGAAAAAACTAAAAATTATAGTAACGACCAATAATTTAAGCCACAGGGGTAGAAAAATAAAATTCATAGGAAACAGATAAACTCTAAGCCACCCGCCAGCCAAAACTGACATAAAAATTAAAAATGTTATCGGAATTAGTATGTTAATTCTCTCAGCTAAACTTAAAAGATACCGGTTACCCATATTATTAAAAAAAGAAAAATACAAAAGGCGAACAGAGTACGTTAATGTAAACAACCTCCAGCAGAAAGATCATTGCCACGTAATTCCTAGTTTTTGGCTTGATTTTTTGATATAACTCGACTCACTCTGGCGTGCGATAAGGTTTAATTGTAAACAGTCTTGAAATTAATAAAGGTTGTATTTAATTTCTTCAGTGTTACGAACCCTGGTGGGGGCATTGACCTGAGGATGTATGCTCGGAACATGTCGGATACGGCGCAATGGTGGGAATTAAGGCGATGCTAGGCAAGAAGGGGATGGTGACATCGTTTCAATTTTATGTAAATTGTTATACTAATGTGCGTATGTAGTCTCCCAAGTTCTGAACGATCCGAGGTAACAATACAAATGTATTTATTTCTGTATCTATTATTTTACTGAATAAATATAGAACTGCAGAATTACGTCGTATAAGATTGGAGGTCATCTCTCGCAAGCAAATTAATTACCATTACTGACAATACGATGGTGTGAAGTGTAACCCTCGGATGTGGTTGAAATTTCGAAATTATGTGATCCAGGTCAATATAACAAACGTTTCTTCAGGCAGTTTGTGCGATAGTCAGAATTTGCCAAAATATTTGACATAAAATTTGAAAAATTGGCGATTTTTCCCGTCGAAGGCAATGGGAGTGGGGTTTAATTCGTCCGATTGTTAAAAATCGCGCAGATTTTCAACTTTGACCTCAAATGTTTTGCCAAATTCTGAGCATCTCGCCACCAGAAACGTTGGTTGTATTGACATGGACCACGTAATTTCAAAATCTCAACCAATTCGGAGAGTTACACTTCACACCATCGCATTGTTAGTTTTTCTTCCATGCGAAGCACGTCAAACTGGTCAAACGAGGGGATGCTTGAGATTTATGAATTGATAGATTTCAACAATTAATATTAAATATCTAAAACGAGTTTTGTGAATTTATGGATGTATTTATTTATTCAGGAAATTGAGAAATATACATACATGCTCAACAACCAATGTGGTAAATAATGAAGGTCAAAATTCCCTGAAACAAAAAAAAAATATGCCTAAATTTTCTAAATTTCATGGATATTAGCAATAATAATTTTAATCTTGGACAGAAATTATATCCCGCCTAAGCAAAGTTCATCTCAACCAGAATCAGACCCCGTTCAAGGCAATGCATTGCGTCGGGCGCCTCATTGCAATGAGGCGCCCGAGGCAAAAAGATAATGGCACCCCAACGTAGTCGCATTATTTCTCCTTCTTACATAATAGAAGAAAAAACTCATTGTTCGTACTAATTGCACTTGCAAAAAAATTAGCACTTTTGAAATAAATTTAACTAAATATGGTTAATATATTAAAAATTTGATTGCTGTTACCAATTTCTGACACATTGGTTTGCCTGACAAATTGCAAAACTCAACAAACTTGTTTTCATCTATGGTCTACGAGCACGCAACCCCCCCCCCCCAAAAAAAATGGCCCTTCAGCGGTAGCCTAGTTCGCCTAAGCGTAAAACGGGGCCTGACCAGAATGAAGATATCCCCGCGCATGCTCTCAAATTTTTACGAAATTAGTGTCAAGCGATCTCAAATTTAATTGATTGGAAAAGGATTTAGCACCTTTCAAATTTAACCCGTATTATCTCCTCTTCGGATGCAAATATTTCCTACTAAACTTGCCACTTGCCCATTATGAGATCGTTCCTTCCTAGAACTTCATAAATAGTAATTATGTAATGATAATACTTAAATTTGTGGTCGATTGACGCTGTTTTTTCGAAATCGAAGAGCATACGCGGGATGAGGGGACATCCATAAGTTATGTCACGCAAAAATCGGGGTTTCCGAAACCCCCCCCCCCCCCCCACCCCATCCTATTTCGTGGCATAATTTATGGACCGTCCCTGACCTTGACTGTAAGAATTTTGGCAAAACGCACCAATCCATCCGAAATTTGTAGATCATCCGATCGTCTTCAACTCCAAAGTGTAGGTCCACTATCGAATTCCATTTTCACTGCTGCAGGAATCCGTGCTGCTCACAACTTTGTAATTCTGGCTGCTCAGGGTGTTTAAGTAGACGGCAACCAGGCTCAAAATGGCGTCCACTTTGCCCAGTTTCCTGTGGAAGATCAACTATTTATTATCCACTCTTAACAATAATATGATACTCTTTTAAAACGAACATAAATAAATGCAGTTTGAATTGAGTAAGAGGACTTTTTTCTGCTAACGCCCCCCCTAAACATTTGTATTTTTTAATTGATATTTTTTAACCACTTCGCCCCTATAACGACTATGTGGCGTATTTGACCTTTACGCCGAGTACGACCATGTGGCGTAAGTTCCCTTGGCACCGGAATACGACGATGTGTCGTATTGACCCTTGACAACGGATACGACTATGTGGCGTATTTTCCGTTCACACCGGCCTACGACTATGTGTCGTATCCGGAAAAAATTAGGTCATTGCCTCTCCAAGCAAAGCAAAGCAAGAGTTATGAGTCAACAACCCGCCCTTTAGGCGGGATAATAAATTTTCTGTTAGGAAATAACATTAGAAAGGGATGCAAAATAAATTAATAGCCAAGTGGCTATATCTAGCCAACACGCCGAGTTGTGAAAACTGTTTTTTGCACGGAAATTTCGACACCGATTTATTTCAACAACGCTTTACGATAAGATTAGAGAAATTGTTTTGCTCGCATGTAGCACAAACGGGCGTTTTGGGCGAGAAAACTAAAAGTTGGTTGAATTCCATCATTGCATGGATTTAATTATAGGCCACAAATAATCTTGCCAGTAGGGTAAACTACGTCAAAATTAATGATTACGTATCGGGTGCCGCTGAAATATCTTTTGGGCGGGAAAATTAAAAATTAAGAGATTGCAGGAATTAGTAGAATTTAATTTTCCCGCTTTAAATTGATTTCTATTCACCAGATGCGCCATAGTCTATTTTCGAGCAATTTCCTCTCACGGGAGAATTATTCATTGCCATTGCTGTCTATTTAAAGTCATTGTAAGGATTTTTGGTTTTCCCGCCCAAAATCGGCTCCTAAGGTGCTTTAGGCGCTATAATCAATATTTGCGAGTTTACGTACTATTATGCAAGTATTACTCCATGCTTGTCTAACTTTTCATGCAATTACAATCATTTTTAAAATTCGGCGTGTTGGCTATTTTCGGCTATAAACATTGGTGGTTCGCCACAACTCAAAAATGCAAATTATAACTCAAAATCCCTTCTTGAAAGGTTATTCACATCAATTTTCATAAAAAAGTGTCCAGAATAATTCCGGTGGGAACACCATTTTTTAATTCATGGCCCAGGAATTAACGTCATGCAGTAGATAAAAATTTCGGGCTCAAGGGAGGTAAAAATTCGCGGTTACTAGGGGTGAAAGGTATGAAAAAACTCGTCTCCTAGGGTTGAAGTGGTTAATTTTCCCAAGTACACTGGGTCAACAGTATGTAAAAAATGCACACTAAAAAAATCCACATGTCAAGGGTACCTCTGAGGGACCCATTACATGTTTTACACATATCCCTTCATTGTGAGCGAACCAAAAGTGCGATTGACATCGGGTCTTGATATTTATTATCCAAATAATATTGTCTAACGCGAATTTCAGTATGAAGCCGATACGTGACCTTTTTGACCTAAACTTTGACCTTTTTCCAAAAAATTCAAATTTTTGACTTTATTAGCATGCCAATTTATTCCCCACGATAATAGAGTTATAATATACTACCAACGCATAGTCTCCCACCATCAGATTAACGACAAAAAAATTTATTCACAAAATTAATACGGATAAATGATCATTCAATCAAGATTTACTAAATCGGTTTTATTTTTATCTATAAAAAATTAAACACGGCTAGCAATTAGTAGCAATAAGCAATAGCCAGTGCGTCTTTCTAATAGTTTTTACGAATGAACGTTAATTCTGATAATGTTGAACCACTAAGCTCAGTACGCCGCGGTCCAATAGTGTGATCATTTGCAGAAAATATCCCGCTGGCTTCCTAACATCATCTTGCAACGTTTTGCAACTTTTGAAGTGACTTCATTCCACGCCAGAACTCCAAGATGTCAAACTTTCGTTGGATAACGAATCAGGAGATGTTTTAGTACTCATGTATTCGTTTACTTCATCGTGCATGACCTGTAAAGTTTCCAGAATTCCGCAAAGCAAACGGCTACTTTTCGCTTTAAAGCAAAGAATTCTGAGGAGTCCTCTGGTGACGAAGCAATGTGGCGCTTCAATGTGTGGTACCAAGGAGCAATTAGATGGAAGTTTTCAAATTTGTAACCGTTAAACACATTAGTTCAGTCTGAACACAAAGTAGAAAACAACACTAATTCTTCTACGATGGTGTCATCGACTCCAGATAGTATTTAAATTTTTTAACATCCTGCAGCTTTTTTTTACTTCAGGTGCGGCTTTCAGGTACGCATTATCAGCTCACTGTTCCACCTAGTAGTCACGTCTTGCTTCTTGCTGCTTGCTATTAATCAAAGAAGTCGAAATAGTTCGAAAAAACAAGAACTCGAAAAATACTTGAACCAACTTGAATATATGAAAATATTGATACAAGTGAACTGAACAGCTTGCGGGTGCAAGACAACCATTCGTGTTTCCTTGCCACAAGTGTATACTGGGATTTAAATTATCCGTATTAATTTTGTGAATAAATTTTTTTGTCGTTAATCTGATGGTGGGAGACTATGCGTTGGTAGTATATTATAACTCTATTATCGTGGGGAATAAATTGGCACGCTTAAAGTCAAAAATTTGAATTTTTTGGAAAAAGGTCAAAGTTTAGGTCAAAAAGGTCACGTATCGGCTTCATACTGAAATTCGCGTTAGACAATATTATTTGGATAATAAATATCAAAACCCGATGTCAATCGCACTTTTGGTTCGCTCACAATGAAGGGATATGTGTAAAACATGTAATGGGTCCCTCAGAGGTACCCTTGACATGTGGATTTTTTTAGTGCGCATTTTTTACATACTGTTGACCCAGTGTACTTGGGAAAATTAAAAAATATCAATTAAAAAATACAAATGTTTAGGGGGGGCGTTAGCAGAAAAAAGTCCTCGTAAAGTATACAAAATCCTGAGTAAACTTTACAAAATTGTAAGGTTAACTTGATACAACATTATTTTTAAGAGGGTAATAACATTGTTTTTTTAGCAATTTGGCGATTTTCCAGGAAATCTGGAAACGATTACGTGTTTTTTTACGTGGGAGGAACGCACAGATATTACGTCATAAAAATGGTGAGTGGATAGTTTTGGGTTGCTTATCTTACTTGCAGAATAGGAAAGGGTGGTCTAAAAATCCGCGTTTTTCGATGACGTAATATATAGAAGTTCCCTAATTGTATTAATTCATTGTTCGGACTTATCTCTTACTCAAACGCGTTCTTGACGCTTCGTTGAAAGTCGACGTGTTGAGTGGACCATCCGAATTCACAGCGGACATGCAGCATGTTGCCGGGACAGTCGTCCCCCAATAAGTTGAGTTCGCGATGCTGAGTCCTCATCAAATTCGCCGTGGTTTTCGATAACCCAAAAATGGTTACCCTCCAGGTCTGGGAGGTCCAGGCTTCACATCTGAAAGTAATTTTGTTAGATATTTATTACGTATTATATTAAAGTGTAATTAATTTGAGACAAATCGTCACCGGAGATGGTAATGAACACTGCAAAGCGTTTTTAATGGGGAATAAATAAAGAGTTGGTTTGCTACCAGGAAGAAATAAATACTCATGTACGAAAGACACGTGCCGTTAATATTGGAAAAAATTTGACATTTCTTATATCAGATTTTCGTTTATGAAAATATGCAAAATCTGGAATTTTTTAAATAACCACGCCACGTGCATTTGGTGTACAAGTTTTTTGTCCAAACCTAATAAATAAGATTGTCAAAAACTAATTTAAAAACTTCAAAGTATTTGACATTTAATATTGTCCAACTAATCCTAAGTTAGATGAAGATAGTATTTAAAATGTAAAATAGAGGTTAATTCGAGGTTTTTATAATTGTGGCCAATTTGCAATTTTATACTTGTGACTTGTACATAAATGATTCACTCAATCTTTTGTGCGACTGATTGATAAATAATAAATTATTCACTTACGACAAAATGCAGATCGTCATTGTAGATCAAAAGGTTGAGGGACAACTTTAGCAGAAGAAGGTCAAAGGTAAACAAATTACTGTTTTTGTAGGGAGCAATAAATTTTGCAGTCAACAAAACTGTGGATGGGGTGATATTTTTTGTGTTTTGTACAGCGCGGTTCACTTCAGACTCAATTCGCCCCGTCATTCTTCTTCAAGACGCACCACACTCATACAAACAGGAAATATTTAACTATTTACAGCGAAATATGTTCGAAAGGTAGCTTGATTTTGCTCCAAAATTCAATCTTGAATGCACGGGAGTAAACAAACGGTTTGTCAAACAGAGTTCACTCTTGCTTTGTATTGTCATAAAAAGTAGGCGTTATTTTTTGGCAGTAACCGCGGAAGCGTGGGGACAGAGGGACAATGTCCCCATGGGTATTCGATGTCCACATCATCTGCCCATGTTATACAAACCCGGACCTTCCCTATCCTGCAATGTTAATGTCTCCACATGTCCCCAAGGCTTCCGCGGCCACTGTTTTTTGGCCGACTTATTCTACCTGCCCCCTTCAGTCAAGTATGTAGAGGAATTTGCTTATGTGCAAATAATGTTATTACGGCATTCCTCTAAGGAGGAGAGACCCTCTACATGCCCCTCTCAGATCTCGATGTCCTTTGGATATTTGATAGTCCTAGATGAATGTAGGATAACCCTAAAGTAGTTTGACGCCATGGCCACATTTGCGCCTCCCACACCCCCTCAAAGGTATAAAAAACACGAAAAAAGCCCTGTTTTCATGTACTTCAACTGTCACCAAAAATCCAATTTTGCTCGGATTTTTATAAGATTTACATTTTTGTGATCCCAGATACTTGTGTGATCATATCCAGTAGCAATCTCAACATTTTTGAAATTTTGAAATTTTCGAATAATTCATTAGCAGTGGAATGTCCTAAAATTTTGGAAATTTCAAAAAGATTGAGATTTCTACTGGATATGATCACACAAGTATCTGGAATCACAAAAATGTAAATTTTATGAAAATTCTACTGAAATTGGATTTTTGGCGGATTTTTGAAGTTGACAGTTTTTGTCGCTTTCACACCTTTGAGGGGGTGTGGCGGGCGGAAATGTGGCCATGGCATCAAACCACTCTAGGGTTATCCTTCACTCACTTAGGGCTACTGCATATGCAAAAGGCATCAAGATCTGAGAGGGGCATGTAGAGGGGCTCTCCTCCTAAGCTTAGGCAGTTCAGCCAACATTCTTACGGTGCACCGTATGAATGTTGGCTGGACTGCCGAGGAATACCGTAATACCCTTTTGAGAAGAAAAGCTGCTCCTAATTCGGAATGAATTACATACACTGTAGCAAAACCATTCTAGATATGCATTCATTACTTCTAGTTTGCATTGCCATTCGCCACGTGACTTTTTCGAAAGTCCAAATTTTGCGAAGCAACGAAGGGTATTCAGATTTAGCGAATGACAAAGTTCTGAAATGTATGTACATATACAAATGTCTCGAATTTTGCAATATCTAGAAAAATACGGTAGTTACCGAAATTAAAGCCAAACTTCAGTAACTAATTTTATGGAGATTTATGGAGTTTCCTCTTTGCAAAATTTGCGGAATATATTTTGCGACTAACATAAATAAATACTACAAACGCCTGGAGATGCGAAAGTTGGCAAATCAACTTTCGAGGCATTTTTTTTGCGAAGTGGCAAACTTTATTGTTTTGCGAACGTTGTCAACATTGCGAACTCGAAATGAATATAGCCTTAGTGTTTCATTACAAAGAGAATTAGGAGAATATTTAGCAATACTTGTGCTAATTAAGTATATAGAAGAAGATTTCAGACATAAATATGTGAACATTATGGCAGTACTACAGATATTTACATATGTAGATTAATGCAATTTGCCTTTGCATTCTGCGTAATTTGCGATAAGAAATTTAATATTTATTATTCATTATTAAATGTTTAGATGTCCGATTCTTTTCGAAAATCTTTTATTCATTATTCAAATATGCATTCAATTACATATATAATGCATTAATTAAGTTTCCTTACATATGCATCGTGGGATTGGATTATCACCAAGGTTTTTTAATGAGAAAGAGGAGTAAAAGAGTGGCACCAATCGATAACCCGATCAAAAGGCTGATACCTGCCGCGCGGGAATTTTTTCGCCCAAGCGCATCTCTTGCGCGGATTGCCTACGTGTTTAGATGCAATTTAAAATTGTTATTATACAAGTATGTAAATATTTACGAATAGTGTTGCCGGTGATTTGTAAATGAGTTGTGAATTAGTTGGCTTCAAATTCGCGTTTTTGCGCGGTTTTGCTTTAAAAGATTTTGACAAGTCGAAATAAAATTATTTTCTCGTTAGCTTACAATGGGGTGACGCCACACTCTTAGCAACTTGGTAACAAAACCCAAAATTTCGTTAACACCAACCGTCGGTGTCAACGTCAATTCCATTAAATGGTGTCAAAATGTTGTGTAAAATTGACACTGAGCAAAAAAAACGCGTTGACACCCTATCGGTATCAGCGGTATCCTGCAATGGTGTCGAATTGACACGGTGCGATGTTACCGCAGTAAGCAAAACTTGGACTTTACACCAAATTGTGGCAGTCTCTTCGCAGTGCACGGGTCTGCTTGGCGGCCATTTTCCTTCCTCCTCCGCGAAAAGTCAACAAACTGGATAAATTAATTGGTGTGTTCAATTGATTTCAAGGGAAAAATTGTTTTTTAATAAGTTAAAGGACTACTAAAGTACTTTCAATTTCTTGACTTAGGTGAGTTAATACGTAGGTGTTTTATTATTGATTTTCAAAAGGTATGTTCCGCACTGTTTCTGACCAAAATTTTGATGAAATAACAAACTTTAGATACATCTAGGATGCTGTGATTTTTTTCAGCCCTTTAGGTTAACATTAACACTAGCAATAAATCAGCAAACTTTACCTCGACGGAAAAAATGTCACATTTGCAAATCAAACATCGTAGTGTGATTTAAATTTTATTGCTGGAGGGGCAATATGTGTCGCAGATTTATGATCGAATGCTTAAAGTTTACGATGGAAACTGCTCAACACAAAGCACAAATACAATTGGGTCGATAAGTTCAAAAAAGGCGAGAAGATGTCCCAAACAAAAAAGTCGCCAGGATACCCAAAATCGGTTTCCACCGCAGAAAACCTCCAGAAACTTAAAGACCCAATTATTAGAAATCCACGATTGAAACTGTCCTATTTAGCAGATGAGATGGGTGTTCCAAAACCAATAATTTGTTCCATGTTAACTGAAGACTTAGGTATGAAAATGGATTCCTTCTGTTGGGTATCAAAATTGCTTTTGGCATCTCAAAAACAAGATCGAGTTGCTTTTGCAATGCAAATTTTGAGCTTTTAAATGAAAACTGGAACCTGTATCATATTTTAGTAGTTGAATATGATACTTGGGTTTACTATTATGACCCGACGACCACACAATAATTCATGCATTGGAAGCACGGGGGATTTCCACCACACATAAAAGGAAAAGTGCAAAAATCTGCCAAAAAATTGATGACCATCAGTTTGAAGGATACCGAAGGTCTCCTCCTTATAAAATTTATTGCTAGAATTACTACGATAAATGGGGTCGCGTATGCAGGAACCCAAAAAGAGCTGCGTTCTGCGGTTGAAAAGAAACGCGGGGTCAAAATAAAGAGTTGGCCTTTTTTTAGACGACAACGCGCCACCAAATACCTCACTGTTTTAGAGAGCTGATGCAGACGAAAATCGCTTTACCTGCACAGACCACCCCACGTGCAGTCCAGACAGGACCCTTAGTGATTATTATCCGTTTCAAACGTTGAAGAAAAACATCAGGGGGAAACGATTTTAGGATGATAATGGAATCAAGTCGTAAATTTTTGCATATTTTCGAGGTAAATTTGGGTGATTTGTTGCGGGTGTTTCTTTTAACCGATTGAGCTGAAAAAAATCACGACTTCCAAAATGTTTTTGAAGTTTGTTATTTCATCAAAATTTTGGTCAGAAACAGTGCGGAACATACCTTTTGAAAATCAATAATAAAACACCCACGTATATGTAACACATTAATTTGCCCTCATTTAATTAAAATTGTTTTACTGTGAATTTGTATTTTTCAAAACTTATTGTTTCCAGTAGTACAGCTAAAATTCGACGCTGGACCCAACGAGGGAGCCAAAAGTGACGAATAAGGATTTGTCCAACCGGCAACCTATTTAATTATTATTAAATATCTTGTTGCTAAGTTAATTTAACTGAAAGATTTACTCGTATTTTAGACCATCGCTGTGTTCAATACATATAAGCTTTTTCTGTAAAAGTGCATTAAGGTATGAAGCAAAAAATATTATTTAATTTGTGCGAGTGTAATAATTTGTTGCTATATTTGAAATACTTGATTAATTTTTTAAGTGATTAATATTATTGAATGTAAAATAAAATATCTGTTACTAAAAGTTGTACTTCAGTTGTCACAATCCGGGAACAATTTGTCACCAGGTGGTGACATTCATATATTAAAATGCACATATAATGTTACCTAGCAGTTTCGAGTCAACATAACTGAGGACAACCTCTTTTCCATTCGCGGTGTTGCTATCGTCACAACGGCATGTTGGGTTGACACCGCAGCGGTGTGCAACATAGTTGACACCGCACCGTGTCAATTTGACACCAAACCGGTCGAGTCATATATAGACACCGGCATGGTGTCAATTCAGTGTCGATTTTTCTGTGAGTGCAGCGGTCTCGCTCCGATTTTGACGAAACCACAATAATTATGTAGCCTTTGATAAATAAGTAACCACATATTTCCGGATTGTTCATAATGCTCGGCTTAAAACTTTGTATTTTTCTGCCAAAAAAGATCAACGAGAAAAATTTCACGGTGAATTATGAAAATCCTGAAATATGTTGTTAATTATTTATCCAAGGCGACGTAATTATAGTGGTTTTGTCAAAATCGGAGCGAGACCGCTCCGACATCACATTGTTAAATAAACGAAAGTTAAGATTCCGGAATCCGGAAATATACATAATTGTTTCAAAATTTTTTTTCAAAACTGCATTCTGAATCCGGAATCCGAAAAATCAAATAGGAAACCAGCCAACATGTAATAGTAGTTGCAAAATTCCAGTCGTACATAAAATGCCCAAAATTGCCTCCGGATTCAGAATCCGGTCCGGCCCGATCTGGGATCGGGCCAATTTTTGCCACCGACGTGGCCAAAATTTTCGACAACGAGCAAGAGTAAGAATCCATTTGTTCTCTTGAAATAATTTTTTCTTAAAGGGTTAACCCCCTTGGGAATTAAAAGATCGTGATGCTAGATAAACAATAGAATGAGGTCCGGATTCTGAATCCGGAATGCAATTTTGGGCATTTTATGCACGACTGGAATTTTGCAGCTATTATTACAGGTTGGCTGGTTTCCTATTTGATTTTGAACTTTTCCCTTAAAAGTAAAGGTCGGAATTTAAAATTCCATTCCGAATTCCAATGTTCAATTAGTTTTACTCTGATATGTAATTGTAGGAATTGTGTTTTCAGCCGGCCTCAAAATCTACAAAAAGCCAACACAAACCCACAGTAACCCATAAACCCTCAAAAACCTACCAGAATCCAAAAACCATCAAAAAGTCACAATAACCCATGAATAAGTTACCAAAAACCCACAAAATTCCCTTCCCTGCACTTCCTCATTTTGAATTCTGACTTGAGTTTTGAAACCAGTTGGAGAAGAATTTTACCCAAAGGATCAGCACTCCAAACAGAATTTCCCTCTCGAGGTCGGAGAGTTCCCGCGGGCGGGGATTTGAGTCTATCCGAATTCCCCAGCTGGGTAACATGATCTGCATCTCTTTGTAGGTCTCGGTCCCCCGGTCTTTCTGGGACAGGGTGATCCTTCCCTCGGCGACAGGCTCACCGCCCCGGTTAAGAATCTGCGTAAAAAATAGAAATATTAAACTAAAAATGCTATGATGATTTAACTTGATTAATTGGAATAAAATTATGATAAAAAAGAAAACAATAATAAACTAAAAAGTACCCATTTTCACGAAATACCACATATTTACACACCTGTTCTTTTTCCTTCATCTGACTGATTATGAAAATGAATTTCCTGTGATTTGAATGAAAATGAGTGAAAGCTTCATTTCAGATGTGAATGAAAGGATTTTTCACTCCTTTCATTTTTTCCATGTGCTTAATACATACATACATAGGGCGCAGTAAGGAATGAATTCAGGTGAAGGGAATGCATAGTGAAGTGAATTAGAAACAAAATTTTGAACACGTATAGATACGTTTTACGTGGAGTTAAGTATTCAATTTTGTAAGTTATGGAAGGGGAATATTCACAATTCAAAAGTTATGTCATGGATGAGGGGTAAAAGTTTTTCGCCATCTGTATTATTTATAAGCTGAGAATGTTTGTCTGCAACGGAAGTAATTTTCCGTGACGGAAGTTAAAGTGGAGAAAGTTTCACTTCCTTTGCAAACAGACATTTCCAGCTAAATAATATAGATACAATTAAAAAAATAATTCCGTGGTATTATGAACAATCCTACTTAATTTTCACGGAAATAAAATAAGCCCTTCTCCCTGCGAGAGGCGGGCTTATACGCTAGTTTCTTAATAAAAGCCAATCTGATAAGTTTGAATTTTTCCGTGACAAAATTTATGAACGTTCCTTAACGGATTTACCTTAATGCATTTCTCCCTCGCTGTATTTCCCTGCGTGGTGAACCTCGGAGACTGTTCGGAATCGGAGGAAAGGCCGATTTTTGCCCCGCCAGCGATATCTTTGCCGGTTACGACCCACGCGGGACATCCACAATTGGATTCAGGGAAGTCAAATTCGATGCGTTTTTCATTTTTCTAAATGATTTAATGTAATTTTTATTGCGCGCGCGGGAATGAGTCTTCGAGGCTCATCTTAAATAAATATGTAAATACATGTTGAGTATCACGAAAATCTACCAGACTATCGATATAACTCACAAATGTGTCGCTGAAGAATGTGAAGACTTATTTGACAACTACAATTCCAATTTAATTTAACTATTGCTTGCAGTGAAGCTTTTATTTCTATAAAATTGGCACAAATTAATAATTTTATGAGGAGACCTCTTGACTTGAGGTGCTTCTCCTTGTGAGTCTACTTCGGGACTTTTTGTTAAAGTTAACTATGAAGCTAAATGTAAACTAAAAACGCCTACCATTAATTCTGGTTAAAACTGGATTTTATGTAGTCGTGGCACTTCCACGTCACCTTAACCTTCACAATAACCTTCATATAAAATATATCATATTCTTACATGCGTATGAGCCGGTCACTTTACTCTATGAAAACTGTCTCTTACATAAAGTTCAATGCTCTCAATCTTCATATCACACAAAATCATGATAAAAATACATGCCTGCATATCATTACATTTAACAATACAAATACTTATCTATGTATGTTCTCACGTCTTTCCAATAATTGGGATAATCGAAACTCAGTTGTCCCACGAATTCAGCTCGTTCACCGACCTGTTGCTCATTTTCAATCGTGACACGTGTCGTTGGAGGTTGTGGAAATAAAAAGCAGCACGACTTTCCCTGGGCGGATCGAACTCGGAGGTTGGTATCAAAAAATGGGAGGAGATCAGCTTCACCAGCTAGAAACTCGGTGTACGGGGTGACCTTCACAATTTCTTTGGCATAATAGGAATCTACAAGTCAAATTCTTTATTAGTTATAAGTCTTTCTTTTATTTCGGGGTGAGTTCGAAGATGTAGGTCTACTCATTTTCATAGAGTGTTAGTCTCACTCAACCCGTGTTTAATGTCTTTAAATATAATTTCTAAAATCGCATCAAGTTCATGAGTGTTGAGATAAATGGGACTTTTGATATTTTAATGTAAAGCTAATTTTTGGTACTACAAAACCTTGATGTTTTGAAAAATTAGAAAATTCATTTTTGAAAAAAATTAGTGTGCAAAAATAGCAAATGAATTTTCTAATTTGTCAAAACACCAAGGTTTTGTAGTACCAAAAATTAGCTTTACATTAAAATATCAAAAGTCCCATTTATCTCAACACTCATGAACTTGATGCGATTTTAGAAATTATATTTAAAGACATTAAACACGGGTTGAGTGAGACTGCGCGCGAACGCGTCATCCACAACAGTCTTAAGGTCGCGGCGCCACGGTGATGACCCCAACGGTCAATTTTTTGTTTTGACATAGTTTTGGGCGGGGATTTCAAAAATCGAGAAAATTTTGACGTCCCTGTGACCGTGTCGCTTCACCACTTTGCTACATTTCGTTTGTAAAGGTTTAATGGCAGTATGAGTAAACTTGTGAATAATTTTAATTACGTGGAAAAGTGAACTTGAACCGAGCCGCTAATCCAAGATCCATAGGGAACACGGTTATCCGCGTCCTTGGACCGTATTGCTCGTCTGGGGGGGGGGGTGATTTCGACCCCAGTCGGTTGGTCGTTTTCAGGGCGAAATGGCATTTTTTACGGCTAGATTTGTGAGCAGGCGAAAGGATGAATTGGTTTTGAAGGCGACGTTGCGGATGAAAATGATTAAAATTTGGTTGCAGCTTAATCACGGGATTATGTTTGGAGTTGGATTAACTTTATCAGCCTGATAAGACCAATGGTATTTATGATCCATTCGTTGTAATAGATGTATGTACAATATACTAAACCGAGATTTGTGTGTATGTAATTCACAACGTACACGTAGTAAGTTGATTGACTCGACTTTAGTGATAAATTTTTATTTTTATATAAGTTTATTTCAACACATAAATACGTAACCACACTTGCTAGTTTGTGGATCGGCGCACCACTGGTTCGCAAAATATGCGCACCGAACCACACCGCGAACCACACCCGGTGTGGATCGCGGTGTGGTGCGCTGGGTTTTCGACTTTTGCTGGTGTGGTTCGCGGTGTGGTGCGCTGGTTCGTAGCTGTGGTGCGCTGGTTCGTAGCTGTGGTGCGCTGGTTCGGAGCTGTGGTTCGCGGTGTGGTGCGCTGGTTCGGAGGTGTGGTTCGCTATTGTTAATCGCAAATGAACCTTTTAACCTTTGGCACCATTTTAAACTCTTGTAAAAATGTGGCTCAAGAATGATTCCGTGTTTCGTTTTGGACGTTTTTTTTTACTTGCAGTGTCCAAAATTGTCTAATGAGACAATTTGCCAATTTGCTACAGCTTCTGTATTCATGCCGTTTTGGTAAATGTTTTCAGATATAATGTCCTTTCAATTGTTGGAAATGTAATTAGCAATACAACGAAATTTGAGGATAGCCTTTTACTAAATATGTGGTATTATATACGAACACATGCAAACAAATATATCTTACGTATATATCTTGAGAAATCAATCATAAATTCTCTAAATCGCGCCGCGTCATACTGTGTATACATAATAATATGCTCAAACTGAACAGGAATAGCATCTTCCAATAAATAATCCAGCAAGACATTTTTGAGCTCCGAACTATGAGGTCCAAAAGTGGCTAAAACCATTTTTGGGCTGCTATTTTGGCCGGTAGTTACAATCACCACGAAACACTGGAATAATTATAAAAATATATTTACTATAAAAATAATAAAATGTTCCATTCTGAATTGATAAAACTGGTGAAAATGTGAAAATGCTGAATTTTAAAAATTATGTACGGGGAAATTTTTTTACAAGTCACAGTATTGTTTAAACATAACATGTGTATGTCGTATTTTTAAGCAGTCAGTGAACCATTGGTTCGCAAAAAATGCGCACCGAACCACACCGCGAACCACACCCGGTGTGGATCGCGGTGTGGTGCGCTGGGTTTTAGGTTTTTGCTGGTGTGGTTCGCGGTGTGGTGCGCTTAGTTTCAGACTTGGCTGGTGTGGTTCGTGGTGTGGTGCGCTAAGTTTAAGACTTGGCTGGTGTGGTTCGCGGTGTGGTGCGCTGACCCAAACTAGCAAGTCTGTACGTAACGAGGGTTTAATTGCATTTGACATTTTACAACGCAAACCTTGCTGTAAAGAATTGACAATGCGATGTGTGTGTATGTGTGACTGTAACTCGGTGGCGTAATGTGACCGTAAAACTGTGTAAATGAGGGCGACGTGGTCACAAAATAGTTACTTGTTGGTGTCGTATTTATTGGTCACACAAATAGCCAGTAGTTACAAAAATTTAGAGTGTAAAATGAGACGAGGGGACAATTTAAGAGGTACGATGTTCTTCCTCGTAATCTTGAGTCGACACTGGGCAATTTTCACAATTGTTCACAAATATATTTGGCAAGGCACTGCCACAAAATTACACCATTACATCTCCAAAGGGCGAGAAGGAAGGAGGCAGGGGATTACTACAAATTTGAACCAATGAGGGAGAAGGTGATAAAGGTTCACAAAGGTTCAAGGGAGAACAAAAAATAAGAAAGTTTGGTCAAACTTCCAATTAAATACAGGCGGACTGGCAACTACACTCTCAATAATTTAGAAGCAAAATTATTACCATTTTTATTACCCTGACAAGGTAACAACCTCTGTCTCTCATTAGGTAATAAATTTGTTACCAAAATTGTCAACATTGGAAGTGACAAACAGTGTATCCTATCCGGAAATAATTTATTTCCTTCGCGGAAATAATTTCGTCTCCAAAATCATTTCCTGTGGGTGGCCACTTGTCTCCTTGAAGCCCAGCGCGAACTTTAGTCACTAAAGTTTAGTGGCAGTTAAATTTTCTCTCACCAACGTTTCTGTCTCGCACCTGGCAGAATAACGAAAACTGTTCAAGTTTCGCATCTTGCCAGAGACAAAATTAGTAATTAGAGGTTCAACTTATGGATTACTTTACATTTCAGGTAAATACTTTTAATTCATACCTCATGTGATGCTTATGCTGTAACTTTATTGTTTTTTGTCCTATACATATTTTTACTAAAACAATTTTTTTCTAGATCCGGATGCGCAAATTTCGGCGAAAGATATGGCGCAGATTGAGATGAAGATATTTTTCCAATTTTACGGGAATAACATTCCATCTCCAACGTTGCGTGCTCTACGAAACTCTTCGTGGAAGATGTTTTTATGGTAAAATACAACTCCATTTAAAGTAGTAGTAAGTTTAATTTCTCTTTTAGTGTGTTTTTAAAATTTATACAGTTGACACTTCATTTCTCTTGGCCGCAATTAGACCAAATTCATTACCAGTGTCAAATTCGAACATGTGATCGAAATGTCAAATTATAAGCAGGTGGGCCCTCATTTCATTTTTATCTATCTTAGTTTTATTTCTGTTAAGTAGCGATTTATTTAATTTGAGTACTGCAGGGTAATATTTTTAATTTTATTTGATTTACAGAAAACAGACAAATTTTCAACAGAACAATAAACTCGAGCCAGCTAGTACAAGAATCAATGTTCAACGCCATTAAGTAATATAAGTATATACATATTCATAATAGCATGCACAGTTTAATTTTTATATTTATGTGTATGTATGTAGTATGTAGAGACATGTGAAGAAATTTAATCTCTAATCAAATAGTATTTAAATAAATAAATACATATTTTAGAAACTATATTTGCTTCCCCCGGGTTCTAATCTATTACTGCAAGGAGACAAATATATGCATAAGACGGTGATAACTTGTCACCCATATTATCACCATATATAGGTAAATTATTTCCACTCGGAGACACAGCTTACCTCCGTTGAATACATTCTGCAATCGACAGTAACAAATTGTATCCCGGTAGGTGACAATAATATCTACCTCCGCTTGGGAGACAAAACACACTTGTCAACGGACGGAGGTAAATTATTACCCTACGGTAGAGTTGCATAGTACCTACACGAGGAGACGATTTTGGTGGCAATTTTGCTGAGAGTGTAATTTGAATTTTTCTCCCTGCTCTTCTCATAATTCACCAGGCATGTACACTCTAAATAAAGTTGAGTAAAGCGAGTTGAGTAAAATGAAGTTGTTCAAGTTTTGTACGACATAAATGTAAAATTTACGCAAGAAAGTTGTGTAAAGCATGTTTTAGCCAACCTTGAGCAAAATTTTACTTTCTTGCTAATCAAATATAAAATTGATCAATGTTGGGTGAGAAATGATCAAAAAGTTGATTATTTATTACTCAACTGGTTGAGTAAAATCTACTCTCCCCACTTGGCGTCTTTATCAGCCACGTCATGCAGCCAGTTGGTTACTCGAGTCACAAGAGTGAATTTTGTAAATTTATTCCTCTTTTTGAAATTTACTCAAATTCACCCAACGTTTGGAATTCTTCAAATTGCCAGCTAAGTTCAATAAACAGCTATGCAAGTTCAAAGGTAAGGTGTTTTGATTTAGTTTTTGCACATTTAATAATATTCTAAAACTTTTAAATTAAAATATTTATTTGTGGTTGTTTTTTTTACAGAAAACCATGTTAAAAATAGTATTTTTGATGGACAAGTCAGCTGGATCAACGTTTGCTGAAATAAGTAATTTCATCAATTGGTCATGATGGAGCTGGGAATCGTGTGTGTCAATGATTTTGTGTAAACTTGGATCGGTACTATTTGCCCATATATTTAGAGGTTTATTTAGTCAGGAAAAATAGTGTACAAATTAATTGTGGGGCAGATGAGACCGATGGAGAACAGACCGACCGTGACTGGTTGACATTGGGTAAAAGAGTGGATAGGAATGATAATGATAATTTGGGTTTTATAGGAGGCCGGTCAAGGTGATCAGAGTTCAAGTAAAATGGAGACATACATAATAGGATAATTGAATTAGTTATGAAATGAGTTTACAATACATTGACTTAAATAGGAGTTTGAGAATGGTTCATAATTAAATTAGTCTGGAGATTAAAAATAAGGGAAATTAGTCATGAGATACAATAAGTTAAGATATGGAAAAACTGCATGGTATTCACTTTACAAACGTTGATTTAGCATTCTTAACATTCTCTCCACGTTGAAGTGACCACTTCAAGATTTATTATCACTGTCTTGAGAAACGGGGAGGAGGACGAGTTTGGCGATTGGGCGTTGAAGAGTTCCATCCTTTGTGAGGAGAGTGACGACGCGAATGAGTCCATCATCGCCGGGATGCACTTTCTGGACTCGACCGAGACGCCAAGTCATTGGAGGGCGTCGTTCGTCCTTGATGAGGACAAGGTCGCCGATGGTAATCTGCTTGTGGGGCGTCATCCATTTAGGGCGTTGTTGGAGTCGTGTGATGTACTCCTTGGACCATCGTTGCCAAAATGTTTGGTACATTTGTTGTAGCATTTGCCACCGAGATAGTCGACCAGTTTTGAGGTCCATTACGTCTGGATCGGGGGCGCTGGTCAATGGGGCACCGATGAGTGTCCAGGGGTCAATGCTGCCAAGTCGGATGGATCTGAGGATTCAGCAGTTATTGGACGGGAGTTCAGCACTGCTTCAACTTGAGTGATGGTGGTGGTCATCTCCTCAAAGGTCAGCCGAGTTTGACCAATGATGCGGGTGAGATGATACTTAACAGATTTCACCCCAGCTTCTGCAAGTCCATTGAAATGTGGAGCTCCAGGGGGGTTGAAGTGCCATTGGATACCATCACGGGACAATTGATTGGCAATTTCTTGATTGTGAATTGGTGTGGAGGACAGGGCGAGAAATTTTCTCAATTCGTGGTTGGCACCCACAAAGTTGGTTCCACAATCAGAGTAGAGGTCTGTTGGGCAACCACGTCTGGCGATGAAACGGCGGAGGGCTGCGATGAAGGCGTCAGTGGTCATGGCGCTGACCAATTCCAAGTGGATTGCTCGTGTGACGCAGCAGACAAAAATTGCAAGGTATGACTTGATTGTGCTTGTACTTCGTGGGACCATGGGTCGGAGCAGGAATGGGCCGGCGTAGTCCTCTGCTGCCTTGGTGAAGGCACGACACGGATGAAGGCGAAACTGGGGAAGATTTGCCATAAATTGTTGTAACGTGGCGGCACGTTGACGAGTGCACCGCACACATTTTCGCAATTGGTGTCGAATCGCGTCACGTCCTCGGATGATCCAATAACGAGTTTGGATTGATGAGAGTAGAAGTTGTTGCCCACAGTGGAACAGCTTCTCGTGCTCCTGGATGATGAGCAATTGTGTGAGTCGCCCATGTCGAGGGAGGAGGATAGGGTGACGGTTGTCATACGGGAGTGGTGCCTTGTGGATTCTTCCTCCAACTCTGAGCACTCCGTTCTTGTCGAGGAATGGGTTGAGTGAGAGAATGGGACTCTTGGGGTCCACCCTTGGGGGCACTTGTAGAGATTGGATTTCTGATCGGAATTCTTGGGCTTGCACAATTTTCACCCAAATGACGAGGGAGTTGTGGAGTTCGGCAGGGGTTAGTGGGCCAGTGTTGGCGTGACCCAAATGTGGACGAGTATTAACAGTGAAACGCGTGCACCAAGCAGTAACTCTTTGCAGTTTGAGAAGGGATGAACAGTTGTTGAGTAGATCAGACCAGGGATGAGTTGTCGTAGCGTTGCAATTCACGATCTCCCTCCTCTCCTCCATGTCGATGGATGAGTCGGGCTTTGGATAAGTTTGACGAGGGGTAGGAATCCCGGTGCTCAACCAATCTGGCCCATTCCACCAAAGCTTGAAATGGGTGAAGGTTGAAGGGTCCAGTCCTCGTGATGCGCAGTCTGCTGGATTCTCCACTCCAGACACGTGTCCCCAATGATGCGAAGGAAGGCGATTCTGAATTTCTGTGACCCTGTTGGCCACGAAGCGATTCCACCGTGAAGGATGGGATCGTATCCAATCAAGCGTGACAGTTGAATCTGTCCACGCACTTTGGTGTTGAAGAGGTAGTTTGAGGGCGTGACTAACGGTCTCCATTAGGTGGGAGAGAAGCACGGCGCCGCAGAGTTCGAGACGAGGAAGGGACACGGTCTTGGATGGAGTTACGCGGGTCTTCGAAGCGATGACGGAGATGAGAGGAGGAGAGAGATTTTCTGGATAACAGCAGAGGTAGGTCACGGCAGAGTAGGCCCTTTCTGATGCATCGCAGAAACCTACGAGGGCAAGTTTGGTGTCGGGGGATTGCTTGACACATCTTGGAATTTTAATATCTTCGATGTGCTGCAGTTCTCTCTTGTACCAGGTCCACTTGTCGGCAAGGTAGATTGGAACAGGATCGTACCAACCAAGGTCAAGTTTCCAAAGTTGTTGCATCATCATCTTGGCAGTGATGACAACTGGAGCGAGCCACCCGATGGGATCAAAGATTTTTGCTATTTCGGAGAGAATGATACGTTTAGTTAGGTGACCTTTGAATGTGGAAAGACAAGAATCAAGTTGGAAAAGAAATTGATCAGAGTTAGGTTGCCAATAAATTCCCAAAGTCTTCACTGTGTGACCCAGTTCCAATGGCATGAGGGACTTTGTTTCCCGTAATTCCACAGGCAGTCGGTCGATAAGAGCTGGGTGACTTGAGTTCCACCGTCTTGCTTCCCATTTGGCACTTTGCATGAGGAGGAGGATTTCTTCTTGGATTTTAATTGCTTGCTCCAACGAGTCAGCACCGGACATCACGTCGTCCACGTAGACGTCGTTGCGTGCAACTTTTGCAGCGAGGGGAAGTTCCACTTCTTTGTTGATGGCAGCTTGCTCGAGAGTGCGTGTAGCTTGAAAGGGGGCGGATGCTGTTCCGTACGTGACAGTCAGAAGACGATAATCTGTCACTGGAGAGGATGGATCCTCTCTCCACAGAATTCGTTGGTAGTCAGCATCCTGCTTGGCGACGAGGATCTGACGATACATTTTCGCCACATCTGCAGTGAAGGCGACGATGTGGGTTCGAAATCGTAGGAGAATATCGAAGAGGGAGTCTTGGATTGTTGCTCCAACAAGTAGGCATGAATTGAGGGATTTTCCATTTCCGGTCTTAGCTGAAGCATCGAAAACCACCCTAAGTTTGGTAGTGGTACTGCACTCCTTTACTACGAAGTGGTGTGGTATCTATGTACATGCCTGGGACTCGATTTCTTGTGGGGGAACAACTTCCATGTGGCCGAGGTCGAGATATTCCTTCATGAAGGCGACGTATTGTTCTTTGTGCGCTGGCTGCCGAGCGAGTCGTCGTTCAATTTGGCGAAGACGTTGCAATGCCATTTCACGGGATGAGCCAAGGTCTGGAGGAGTAGTTTTGAATGGGAGGCTGACAACAAATCTTCCATCTTGCTGTTGAGTGGTGTGGGTGACGTAATGTTCTTCACATTGTTGTTCTTCTTGTGTGAGGGGGCGTGGAGTGGAAAATGGGACTTCTTCCAGCTCCCAGAATGAGCGGAGGCGTTTGTCCAAGTCGACGTCTGTTACTCGTACCTGTGACTGCTGCGGTACTGTAGCGGATTGCATATTAGGGGAACCTTGAGTATGAAAATTAGTGATTGCACCTGTGTCAGTCTGACCAACTTCACCAACTACCAACCAACCAATGTCCGAGCTGAGGGCAAATGGTTGACCGAGTTGACCATGTCTTTTGTCTCCATTGATGAGACCGTAGACGAGTGATGCACCAACTAACATGTCGATGTCATCAGGGGTGTGCCACTTCTCGTCAGCGAGTTGCAGTCCATTGAGATGAGGAAGATCGGGATCACATGGGTGACGAGGAAGTTGACCAGTAACTGTGGTCATGATTCTCACATTCTTGGCGAGAATGGTGAGATGAGGATCAATGTGTGGACTGAACTCCATGTCCAGCACACCGTACGCACTTCCGACTGGGGCTGACGAGAGTCCAGTGATGAGAGTTTGCTGTTTGTTCCAGCGTAGGCCGAGGGACTTGACGGTACTTGATCTGATGATGTGGACATCGGATCCACCATCCAACAAGAGGCGAATTGGCTGCTGCTGGCCTGATGTGTCCTTCACAAGGACAATTGCTGTAGCAAGGAGAGTTTGAGAAAGGGTACTTGTGTTGTTGCTAGCATGATGATTCAATGCGGGATTATTGTTCACGACTGGAGGGGCCGGTTGAACAGGTGACTTGACACGATGAAGAAGTGAGTTGTGTTTCCCACTGCAAGTACGACAGGTGAAAGCGCTGGGGCATTGCGAGCTGGGATGGTTACTGCGAAGACAGTTAAAGCACAGTGAATTCTTTCTAACCGCTTCGATTCTGCAGTCCACGGTCATGGCGAGGAAGACTGCACATTTGTAGAGAGGGTGGTGTGGCTCAGCGCACACTTTGCATGGGTGTGGTGAGTGAGGCGAGGAAGGAGCTTGTGCATGGTGCACGTGATTCCTGACATGAGGAGATTTATTCTTTTCAATGACTTTGGGAGGATATGAGGACTTACTCCCACCCGCCTCCAACGCTCTGGACCTCTGTTCCAAGAAGTCGAAGAGGCCTTGAAGCTTGGGAATGGAGCTATCCTGCAGTCCTTGCTCGTACAGTTCCTTGGTTGCGCTGTCGAGCTTCTGATGAATGGTGAAGAGGAGGAGTGCATCCCAGTGTTGCACAGGCTGGGCTAGCACCTCCAGTGACCGGATGCACTCCTTACTACCGTCGATGAGTTGGCGTAAGGATGATGCAGTCGCAAGTCCAATGGGTTGTTGTTGAGTGAATCTCTTCAATAAGGTGAAGAGCAGTTGACGATCGTTCTGGTAACGATCCTCCAATAGCTTGGCGGCGATGGCGTAGTTGGCATCTGAGATGACCAATGACTGTACCTGTCGAGCTGCTTCTCCCTTGAGTTGCGCCTTAAGGTATGCCAATCTCTGTGAGTCCGATAGGTGGACATTGTCGTGGATTGCAGTCCTGAAGAGGTCCCTGAAGGATGTCCATTCTTCAATCTTGCCGTCGAAGGTGGGTAAGTTCAGACGTGGGAGTTGAATGTCTGCTTTGATGGTTGCGAGTGTTAAAGTTGGGGGAGGAGTTGCTTTGGTAGCAGGGATGAAAGACTTTTGGATGACAGTGAGCTTATCCATGAGGTCAACAGCGCGGTCAAGTAGTGATTCATACTCTGTTGAATGGGGGTCGAGGTCAGCAGGATCCACAACTGCTGCGATGCGTTGGAAGGTGTCTTCAATCTTGTCTTTGGAGATGGTCACGGTGGTAAGGTATTGGGCTACCTTATTCTCGGTCATTGGGGCGGTGGCGTGGTCATTGTACCGCTTCTCGAGCCACCCCAGGGTCACTTTTGTGGCGTCACGTTCCTTCTCTGCTTTGACGAGGGCCATGGCGTCACTATGTCACTTTGTTGCCAACAACACACTTTCACGCAAAAGTTTATGGGATTGGTAATCCTGTTCGCTTGAGACCAAAATGATGGAGCTGGGAATCGTGTGTGTCAATGATTTTGTGTAAACTTGGATCGGTACTATTTGCCCATATATTTAGAGGTTTATTTAGTCAGGAAAAATAGTGTACAAATTAATTGTGGGGCAGATGAGACCGATGGAGAACAGACCGACCGTGACTGGTTGACATTGGGTAAAAGAGTGGATAGGAATGATAATGATAATTTGGGTTTTATAGGAGGCCGGTCAAGGTGATCAGAGTTCAAGTAAAATGGAGACATACATAATAGGATAATTGAATTAGTTATGAAATGAGTTTACAATACATTGACTTAAATAGGAGTTTGAGAATGGTTCATAATTAAATTAGTCTGGAGATTAAAAATAAGGGAAATTAGTCATGAGATACAATAAGTTAAGATATGGAAAAACTGCATGGTATTCACTTTACAAACGTTGATTTAGCATTCTTAACAGGTCACATAATTAAATTAACGACCGTTGCTAGAGAGGTTAGTGGATTAGTAGTCAGAGTTTTAGCAGATTACATAAGTCTCAAAATTCAAGGATCCTTAAAATTAATGGTTTTACTTATGCAGAATTTATAAAATGTATAATAAGTATATATTCTAATAAATTAAGAGTACGAACAAGCTAAAGATTGTATTTTAATCAGCATAAAAAATAAACTTTCAACCAAATGAGTAAATTTTAATCATTCATTGATCACTTTTTAGTTTCTAATTGAGTAAAAATTCCACAACTTGTTGAGCAAACACTACTCAACCAGGTTGAGTAAATTTTAACCACGGGTTGTGTCATCCCTTTTTTACCCAACCTTGGACAAAATTTTGCACAACCTTGTAGAAATTTTCTACAACTTTATTTAGAGTGTACATACATATAAATTATCATGACAAATAAACATACATAAATCATGAAGTCAAACATTCGTAAATTCATCATCATCATCAATATTCATAAAAATAATAATTCTAATCCCTCGACGACACTTGCTATTTTGGTAGTATGTAGGTGACATCTTCCAAAGTCTTTTTTTCGTATGACACAAAATTTCTGCTGATCCGTAGCCTTACTTCTTAACCCCACCGCATCACAATTTTTCTTATATTTTTAATTGCTGCACGATGGTCCCGATTGACCTTTCGTCTTGGACTAAATAAAATTTATGTCTGTAAAGCTGTGATTAAATGTATTTACAAAATTAGATTGAAAGATTGGATTTGAGTTGATTTTTTTGTCTCAACTTTTCCTTCATTCATGGATTCAAGATTCAATAAGTATTTTTAAACTTGATAATTTCGGTGCTTTTTTAAAATTAAGGCTTTCTTGGTTCAGAAGATTCTTAGGTTAAGGAACTTACAAAGTTCGTTTTTTACTTTGTTTTTCGTCGATGCGAAGCACTTGAGACCAGAGTGTGCAAGGGAAAAAAGGCATGCCGTGCCTAAAATGCCTTTTTGCCTATTAGGCACGTGAATTTTGGCCATTCCCGATTGCCCGAAATGCCTTTTTTGCCTTTTTGGTAAAATCGAGGCAATCTGATAATATGATCCCATGATTTGTTAGTATTAATCACGATTCTTGAAATATGTAGCTCTCATTTCAACAATCCTGTATAGATTTCCGTCATATTCATCTGAATGGATTGTATTTTTAGATTTGTCAAAAATTTTTAATTTTTTCCAAGGTCAATAAATTTTGCGCAATAACGGAAAAGGTCACTAGGTCAAGTCTCACATAACCCCATAAGGATCATCGAGTTTTCGTCGGTCTACTGTAATGTTAACTCTCAATCTGCACGTGTGTTATCGTCTGTATACTCGAAAAACCAAAACTCAATAATCTCTTTGGGTCTCTAACAGGGTTGGCCAAGATATTTAACAAGATACAAGATATCAGATACAAGATACAAGATATATCTTGTATCTTGTGTAACGGAGTTTATCTCATCTTTTATCTTGTATCTGAACGTTTCGCAAAAGTATTTTGTATCTTGTATCTTGTATCTGGAGAATTTATTTCAACCATATTTTATTTGAAATACTAGTCAAGATACAAGATACTTTTTTAGTGAAAAACCGGGAAACTTATATATTTGGTAGTATTAAAACTTGGAATTATGAAGATTTAAAAACCTCAATGTACAGCTTTGCCGAGCAGAATGCAAGGTTATTAATATTTATTTATCCACAGTAAATTAACCCTCGCACATTGGCAAATTTTGTAATTTGCATTATATTCCTAATTTTACCACCATTAGGGCAATTATTCCAAATTTCAACTGAATATACTGGTAATAATAATTTCAGCTCCATATAATAATTAAAAAAAATCAGTATGGGTCACCACAGGTGAAATCCTCATATTTGTTTATAAATTGTAAACAGAGGGTGAGGACTTGTATTATAAATTACAATGCAAGTTATGAGTCTATACTATCATTATTAACAAGTTACTCGGCTACAATACAAGAAATCAAGTGGTGCTTCGTTATTTCATGTTTTTTGCAAGCTCCGAATAATTTATCTTGTATCTTGAAAAAATTATTTCAAATAAATATCTTGTATCTTGTATCTGGGATCACAGCAGATAAAATCTATCTTGTATCTTGTATCTTGTGTAACTCTAATCAGTGCCGTATCTGTCCTTGGTCCGGCCTGGAGAGTAAAATTCTGGTCCGGCCTTTTATGTGCAAAATTATTAAAATTGATACAGCGGATTTCTGTCGCTTATTTCTTATCTACGGCTATCGTCACAAATACAGAGGGTGCCCCATTTATTCGTGGAAGGGTTTAATAATTTTTTTACCCCACAAGCATATTTTCCTAAGGCGAAACTTGTTCCATATGACGGCCCTTGTTTTTAACTTTAAGAATGCATCGCTTTTTATCCGATAAAAAAACTTCCAAGGACTTTTCTTATTTCGCATATCTTTCAGTCATTATTTTAAGCGTTCCAACGTGCGTGAAAATTAGTAAATCGGTTCGGAATTTTCATGATTCGTTAAGTCTATATTTTTGTAAAAACTGTACCTTTATCTAGCCACAAATATTTTTAATTTCTGATATACATAAATTTAAAATTCCCGAAAATCTCAAGTTCATATTTAAATTTGATTTTAAATTAAATTATATCTTATTACTGTACTGAGAAAGTTTTTTTAATTCTTACTAATACAGTGCCTTTAAAAACGGTTTGGAACCGTTTTTCACAGAATATATAATCGGGTTACTTAAATTTGCAAAAACCCAATTTCAAACCGGTTTTCCAAATCTCAAGATTTCGGATGTCGCAGAGATGGGACTTGATTGCCAAATTTCACGAAAAAGAAATTATTGAATAAGTTATGTACATTAAGACAATTTTGATTATCGTTTTCAGAATTCAATTTCTACTTGTCCACTGTTTGACAGAAGCGTATTAACATTTGTAACACCCCACTTTCGTGAATTAAAGCTCCTAGAAAAAAGGTAACGCATGCAAATCAGTTTTTCGCTCGGAAATGCTAGAACGCATTCATAGATTTTGAAAAAATTAAAGAGGAACATGCTCCTCGCCATTGTTATGAAAGGCTTAAAGGTCGTTTAGACCAAAAAATATTTGGTGAAGTAGGGATCATGTATTTAGTGCTATGGGGTAAGTATTTAATGCAAAATATTCGAAATAGTCATAGGACACCAACATTTTGCATGAGTGGGTCGACACAGATAGAATGGTTAAGTTATTAATGCTCGATTGATAGTGTCACGGCCTTTTCAATTACATATGAAAAATTGTTTGATAAGGTTATTAACTCAAACTTGAAATTTTTTCAACTGCAGGACTATTTATCTTATGTTACCTCAACCGATTTACAGAAATCGTCACAGAAGGCTTAAGTTTGAGTATTGTGTCATTTTGTGAGATCATAGAAACTTTTCAGAAGTGAACAAAATCAAGATTCAATTTATAACTATGTAAGCGTTGGTTTGGGACGTTAGGTTCTATGTATAAGTTAACATGTACATCGGAGGGTCAATAATATCTAGTGTCTGCATCACCCGGCCGGTACGGCCCTTCGGGCCGTCCGGCCTGGAGAGTGCTCTCCACCTAAAACCAGTGCTCCTACGGCCCTGACTCTAATTATTTGTATTTAGTATCTTGTATCTTAAGGTTTCGTTCAAATATTTTGTATTTTGTATCTTGTATCTTTGAAACAAAGTATCTTGGCCAACCCTGGTCTCTAATATGCTCAGCATGCAACCTCCACCATCACGTGCTCGTATCCTTCCCACACTGTTAGTATGGTAGGGATACGAACGCGGGAATCAAATTTTGGCCGAGGTTGGATGCTGAGAACTATAGATAGTAGAAAGTTAGAGGCTGGTCCCAGACCCCATAAAGTATATATATTATTAATCCTCCCGCCAAGACCTTTCCAACGATTACTCACTTATGTGGTGATATGAGACATGCAATTTTCATGTAAAAGCTATTTTTTGAAAATTTTATTTTGCGAATTTCACGCTCAATTTTTGAATTTCACGCTCAATTCGCAACAGTTTTTGCGACTTTTGGCCTCTCCCCCGAAGATGGGAAGGGGCGGAGTTGAACCAAAGTATTGGTACCGTTGAACTAATAAAGATCACCTCTACCAACTATGCAAATATTAAGAAAATCAAATTTTTTTGTGGTCCTCGAGACTCAGGTTTTCATTTTGGTCAAAATCTGTGATCACACGTTGGGAGACCTCCATGAGAAATGCAGCCGGACACGTGGGAAGAACGTGCAAGTAAAACTCACTCCACTCCAGCTGACTTAAAAGCAACTTAAAAAAAATATTCTGAACTCCAATCATAAAAATTAATTAACTATTAAACTATTAAACCCCCAGCAAATAACACAACCTTAAACGGTAAGTTTAATTGATTTCGGGGTTACGGAGTATTTATAATATGTAATAAATACGTAAGTACTAAAGTAAGTCTGAATTTATGTATTTGTAGCTAACTAAACTTCTGGAATCGAAAAGTTTATACATAATCTGGATTAAAGGAAACTTACCAAAACCAGGTGAGAAATTTTAAAAAAGTGTCAAATACTTGGTTAATGACTGTGTTTAACAGGGTGAAAATATTTTACACCGTAAAATTCAGATCTGCCAGTGGAATTCGCAATTTTGTAGATAGGTAATTACATATCTGAAAATTGTAAAACAAATTTTTCATAATTACGACGGATTTTATAACGTTTTAGTTGTTTTTTAATAAAGTTCCATTTAATCTTTGTCCAATAGTGAAGGAGAAGGCTTAAATGTACCAAATAATTTAAACAAAAGGACTTCTAAATTATAGCATGTCAACATCAGGATTTAAAACGGATCCTGAATCTACATTCGGTAAGCTAAGGGGGTGGACGTGGAGCTTAATAAAAGTTGTTGGGATTTGAGCAAAATGATTTTTGAAATATGTTCATTGCAGTTTCCGACACAATTTTATTTATGTAGCTAATTGTGCAGGTTAAATAATAAAATTAGTTTCCTTGATTTAGCAGGGATTTCGACACCACGTGGTCCGGAGGAAGATGCACCTTGCCGGGAACACGTGACGACCCAAAGGGCCCCACGCTTTTCCTGTTCGACATGTACGAAATCGTATTCATCACTTCAACACCTGCGATTCCACGAACTGCAGAGGTGAGCAGACGTCACGCGTTATAAGGAACGTCCATTTATTTCGTCATCAAAAGAGTTTTTAAGAACATGTGTATTTGACCAGACTATGTTTTGTACTTCAGATGTGACGGCCTAAATCAGACCACGTGTGAACGGTGTAAGATTGAATTTGCATCGATAGAATTATTAGAATGGCACTCGACATTCGACACGTGAGCAATCCTTCACATGTAAATCTCAGATTTATGAATGTATTTATTTACGCGAGACCAATTTTATTCTCAGGTGTGCCACAAAACTCGGGGGTGGCGGTTATAGTACCAGGGGGCTAGCGAAGGAGTGGGTGGTCGTGTAGGTAGCGGAATATGTAAATGAGTTGGGCTTAAATGAATTTTTTGCAAATATGTATCTGTAGTGACCAAATTGCGTTAAAAATTAAATCCCTAAGTATTTTCGGACTCGCAGATTGAAATAATACAAATATTTCGCCTTTTTAATTTAGTTACCAGACTGCTAATGAGTTTTAGACAAGCTGGTCCAAAAATGATCACCAAATACTTCTATGTATGTACAGGGTGGTTTAAATGTCAGGTTACAATGGAAAAAATTCGCAAATCTCCATTCCATTAGTTATCGAAATTTTGTCTCTGAAATTCAATATTTTAAGAATTTTGTCATCAGTGTTCCATACGTTTTGAACCCAAGAATTAATAAAAATATCGATCCCAAATCCGTAACTAATGGAAATTTATGAATTTTTCCCATTGACAAATTTTCCATTGTAACCTGACATTTACATAAACCACCCTGAATGAATCCAAAAATGCTTAAGGGTTAAATAATTTCTAATTCATTTAGATCCAACTCAATTACAACTCACCTGCAAAACTAGAGTCAAGTAAGGTGTTTTCTTTCATGGGATATTTTTATGTTTAGTAATTCTTCTGGGATTATGTGCCCCGTGGCCACGTGTCGGCGATGGTTTGGCTCCGAAATGTCGCGACGGATCCACGTGGTAAAAAGTCATGCCGCCTGGGGGAACGGGTGTTTGATATGTGCCGAGAAATTTGCCGGTTATGAGGAGCTGCTTGACCATCTTGGACGGGCGCATGGGTCGGACGTAGATGTCGTGAGAGTAAAGACTGAGCTGATTTTGGACGAGGGTGGTGAAACTGGGGCGGAAAGTATTGCCAAAATTAAGGAGGAAATCGACTAAAAAGTGGGGGTGATTAAGGTGGAAAATGAAAGTTGGAACGGCGTAAATGTGAAAATTGAACCTTATCAAGACTCGTAGTACTAGGTAGAATTAAGTTTGTTAAATTTATATATATTTATTTATACCTAGTGGGCCCCCGCTGGCTGTAAGTAACTTTAAACTTGTTGGAGCTAAAAAAAACTGTTGAGTAAATTGAAATCCTTATGCAATTTTGCAAATTAATTTTTTTCTGAAGTAGGTTTGTGGCGTTGTATAGAAAACGTTATTTTTATTATTTATATCTACATAAAATAAAACTTTTGCAAACATTTATCCGAAATTGAGTGAATCATAAAAGTTATTTTCTACGCACAGTATAGCTACATCCATAGGTTGGGTAATTTATGGACATCCCCTACGTACACAATCTTGCCTATTCCTCAGACACCTTAATCAGCAACGTAAGAAATGCAACTAATGCCTTAAGTAAGCGAATCCGACATTCAAAAATTTCCGCCAAACATGCCACCGACAACCCACCCGCCAAAACGCAAAGAACTGTCTTAATATCCCCGAAATTCAGCGACCTGAGCAGCAACCCGGGTTCTCCATGCGACGTTCCGACTAAATACTAGCTCGCTGCGATCGGAGCGACCAATTTGAAATAATTTTGCTCCAGCTGTTTCCACCTGAGGTAAACGCCACATTCAAAGTTTTGTCGAATCGCGTCGACCAAAAAGTGTTACTTGGTCGCGCCCGGGGTCACAGAGAGGTACCGCATCTCTTGCAGGATGACCTCGTTGTCCGTGTGCAGATTATGGACGTACTTGGCCGTCTGGTAGAGTTCGTGGCGGGACGAGATGTACAAGTCTTTCTTGTCGGAATACATACATCAGCATGGCGTATCTAAGCGAAAATTTGAAGATTAAATTAATTTCGCAATATTTGTTTCATTTAGCTGGGTTCCGAGCATAATGAGGACACAAAAGTGGTCTTGGACAAAGTAAAATATGGATAAAAAATACGGACAGGAGAAACATGGACATGGGGATAATATGGACAACACCAAATGTGCTAAATACTGTCCTCGTACTCATTTGCATTTTTTAAAGCATTCGTGAGAGTCATAGAGTTTACTCAACATGGAAAGCCCGTATCACCGAAAATGGGCTATTGAGATTTTAAATCTCAATAGGGGTGGGGGGTATAAAAAATTTGTTACGTAACACATTTTATAAACTCGACTAAAATTCGCCAAATTTTATACGCCGAGCAGATTGAATTCATGTCATCCAAAAGGTTTCAGTGTACGCATGTTAATATACATTTTTCATTAGCTTTCCAGGTGTAAATTGAGAAAAGGTTGCATTATAGTGGGGAATTTTAGGGCGGAACCGGTCAAAGGGAGGGGAGGTAACGAGTCCATCGTTCATTCTGTTACCAAGAAATATACCCAAAAATCTAGTTTATTTTTACTGATACGTAGATATTTACAATCAGGTCAATTCGTTTGCTTCATTTTGAGATATTTAAGTGCAAAGTTGTTACAAATTTTCTAACTCAATGCAAAAAAGTTTGCGGTCAAACTTTGACCTTAAATATCTCAAAATGGAGCAACCGAAATGACCTGATTGCAAATATCTACGTATAAGTAAAACTAAACTGGATTTTTGGCTCTATTTTGTGGTAGCAGAATGAGGGATACCCCCCTTTCATCGGTGTCGCCCCAAAATTCCCCACAATGCATTGCGAGTGCTAGTAAATCACATGCGGTGAAATCAAATTTACGATTTTTGCGTTACGTAATTTATGGACGGCCCCTTATGCAATTGAGGTGACACGCCTAAATGCGAGGATAGTACTTGGAATTCCCCAAACTACTAAATATGTATATTAGAGGGATTTGGGTATTAAGTGAAAGTTCTCATCGCATTTAATCCGCGATTGAAATTTCTTGTTTCTAATAAAAGATCTACAATTATCAGCGTTTCTGAAACTGACATAAAAGGGAGTCCCAACTTTGTAAAAAAGATCTAAAAAAGCGGAAAGCTAAAAAATCTGAAATCCACTTTTTCCGCTCAATACTTGACTGTACAGATTTGTTTAGTTACATGAAAACATCTGATCTATTTCGTCCGCACAAGTGGAAGTCGCTAGTTTTTTGTGTTCAATTAATTTAATAATTAGTTCTCTCATTAAGTCAAGATGCCTTTAAAGACTTCAAAACAGGAACTCATGGAATTCTTAGAACTGTTGGGCTGCAGTGAGATTTTCTTTTTTGATAATGTTCAAAGTGCATTGGAGGTGTCGGTGACCATGGCGTTTTTTGAAGCTTCGAGGTATATCGAAGACCGTAAAGCTGTACCAAAAAGCGTCCATTGGTTAGAAAATGTCCTACCACAACTGGATGAAAAGAGGTTTCGAGCTCAATTAAGGGTGAATAAAGCTACGTTTCTAGATTGACTGAAAATTATCAAAGGTAAGCTAAATCATAAAATTTGATTATGAATAGCGGTAACTTAATTTGTAATTTAACTAAGTTTAACTAACTTTTAGGGACGATTGCTCAGTCAAATCACCAAGAACCGTTGGAGTTGCAGTTAGCAGTTGCATTGAATCAATTGGGAACTTATGGAAATGCATCCAGCTCCGAGAATATAGCTACAAAATTTGGATTGTCACATGCTTCTGTCAACAATTATACAAACCGTATTATTGAAGGTTTATTGGCCATATCAGATGATTGGATTAGGTGGCCAAATGAAGATGAGAGAAGAAGAATCAGCAACGAAATGTTTCAGAACGGTTTGCCTAAGTGCGTTGGATTTGTTGATGGTTCTCACGCTCCTTTCTTCAAAGCCCCCATGGAAGATAAAGAAACGTATTGGTCTCGCAAAAAAGAATATTCCCTTCAGTTTCAAATTATTTGTGACCCGAACAGAATAATACGACATTTCTATACTGGATACCCAGGAAGTGTACACGACGCCAAGGTGTTTGCTGCATGTGACATTGCGAAGAATCCTAACCATTTTTTCAGCCCTGGGGAATATATCATAGGAGATTCAGCATATCCAAAATCTGAAACTGTCGTTGTTCCTTACAAACGACGACAAGGTCAATTTACTCAGACGCAAAGAGCTTTTAACAAGTATATCTCAAGCCATCAAATTGCTGTAGAACACACCATTGGACTCTTGAAGGGACGATTTCAAAGTTTGAAACAGATTCGTATTCAAATTGACCGAAATGGCCACTGTCAAGTGTTGCCGGGGGATAAAAGCGTGTGTTGTCCTGCACAACATTTTAATCCACAGGGACCCATGGACTGAAAATGACGAGATGGTTGTGGAAGCTGATGATGAACAAGACGATGAAAATTTAGAACTTGGAAATGCAATAACAGCAGAAGCAAAGAGAACAGCATTATGTGAAATTATTTTAGCAATGAAATAAATTGTATTCCTAATTCAAAAACAATTGAGTTTATTGAGACTGATTTTTGAGCTTCTGCAGTTCTATTTGCATTTCTAATTTACGAATATCGATTTCGCCTTGCTTCTCAATTTTTAGGAGCTCGTGCTTATGTTGATCCTCAACTAGTTGTAATTCCTTTAATTTCATTTCTCGATCCAGCTCATGCCTTTTTTCCTGCAGCGTCAACTCTCGTTCAGCCTACACCAAAATTACTGTATTTTTATGAATGATTCAAAATTAAACATGTGCAAAATCATTTACCCTCTCACGATCTAAGTCCAACTTTTTATCATCGAGGAGCCTTGTGTAATTAAATTTTTCCTCTTCCAACTTGATATGTTTCACTTCAACTTCCTTCTGGTCTTGTAGTCGTAACTCCATGATACTTGAAAAAACTCCCACGGCTGTTTTTGGCTTTTGCGCCTTCTTGACACCAAGCCCTGAAAGGGTTGACTTCACAAGACGTTTCACTTCTGAGTCACCATCTGCAGGCTCCCCAGGTTCAATTGAATTTTCTCCTTCAGTAGCCGTTAGGTCAACGTTGATATCAGATGGATTGTCTTCACCCGACTCCATCTAGAAGAGTAAAAAATAAATATCTATTTATCTACCAAAAAATTATGGTCGTATTAAATTCCCGCATTAACTTTACATCAATAACGAAATCAACCGGTCGCGACATCGGTAGGGACATTGGGTCAAATAAATCTTCATCCACAATTTCAGAGCCACCAATTTCTCCAAATGCAGATGACTGTTCAATGTGTGGAGGTTGAATATTCGGTCGCGATCCCATTATTTCGTCTAGAATGTGGAAGTATGGACATTTCTTGAGAATCCAACCTATTAATTAATTAAACGGTGAATGGGGTTCATACGTGAGGCTTAAACGTAGTAATTATTACCATCATTTAGAGTTTCATCTTTCTCTGGGTCGACTCCAAATCCAGATTGCTGCAGTTTGTCCTTGACATCAGTATATGCTTTCATAAAACGGTCGAATCCATTTTTAAGTTGGGTATCGTCACATTGATTAAACCTTAATTTTTCTCTCATTCTTCGAAGAAAATCCATCTTTTTAGACACCTAAATATGTACATAAAACTATAAAATAACGTATTTACAATTTTAAATTTAAGTCTTACCTTGTAATTTTCATAATTTTCTACCACATAATGAGCCACGTCCATTTTCCTAGCCGCTGTCCACTTGAAACTCTTTTCGTTAGAGGAAGATGATAATCCACCTTTACCCTTGGACCTTTTCCGCGTCAAAATGACTGGTTGGGTATTCATTTTGATGGAGCCTTGATTTATAACTAATTTTGACACTTCATTAGTTTTTTAACGAAATTTAAATTAATTTAACGGAAACTGAATTTATTTTTTGCCTCAGCTGAGAGATTGCTCTTTCACTCACAAGTGGGAAAAAGAGCGAAAAAATCATCTTGAAGTTGATTTTATTTTTGAGCAGAAAAAGTGGAAAAAAGATCGGAATCGCATGCGCAGTGCAGTTTTAAAAAAGAGCGAAAAAATCGTGAGCGGAAAAAGCGATTTTTTTTACAAAGTTGGGACACCCTAAAGTCGAATTGTACAAAGTTAAAGAACTACTTAAAACGCTTAAGTTTAGTATGTAGGAATTCAAATTTAATAAAAAATGTCCAGAATTGTAGTGTACGTATTTTAACATTATCCATATTTTTGTGGTCTACTTTTTTTGTCCATATTCCAGCATCGATATATTGTTTTATCTTCATTAAGCCCTAGTTTTAGCTTGTAAGTATGTCAATAAGTACCTGTTCCACTCGTCCCTCTCCGCCAATTTAAAAAACCCGCCGGGATTTGTAATTATCACATTTCCCACGCGATTATTCAGCCACAATTTGACCCCATTGAGGACCCCCCGATTAACGAGGTGATCCCTACTCACCGCCGTATCCCCGCCAATCGCCGCGTAAAAATTTGTTGTCGAGTTCAACTCCGCAAACGTTTTCGGTCTCCAGGCATAAATCGGAGTGAGAAATCCCGCCAAAATCATGCCAGAATAGGCCGAAAGGACCAAAAACACGAACATCCTGACCCAAATGAGCCATATTCTTTGCCCGGTGGACTCATGCCGCCAAAAGTCGCTCATCCAAAACAGATTATCCACCAAGGATCCCGCCTTTTTCGTTCTTCCCGCCATTCCGTGATTAATCAGCGCGATGACCACCCCGCAGAGCGCAATCCCCACCCAAATCCTGGCTTCGAACGGTCTCGCAATATTCCCCCAGACCCGTGGCGCTTCTTTCAAAATGATAAAAGTTATCCCGGGCGACTCGTAAAACAGCGCGTTCGGATCTGGCGGGAAGGATGAGATTAAATCGTCCCTAAGGAGGAAAGGCCGGACGTAAAAGAACTCGGCAAAATTATAATAGGGGAAAAAAGTGAGATTGTAATACTTAAAGACGTCGCAGAACATAGTGTCGAAAGCGTTGTAGGTTAAGGTTAGTTCGTGCAGCTGTTCGGAAAAGGTGTCAAAGTTGCATCTCGAGCCACCCCACCCGCTCAGCGGGGAGTATAAGAGTGCCCCAAATTGGTGAATGGATGGCGGGTGATTGGTCTCCTTTTGAAGGAAAGTGGGCAGTTGGTCGTATTGGATTAAAGAGGACAGAATTACGGCCTGACTTGAGGAAGGGTGGATAAGAAATTGCCAATTTCAAATTGGTCCTGATTCCACTGGGATCGCCAGTAGTCTTCGAGTAAAACGGCGGGATTGTAGTGCGGGTATTTCGCATAAAAATGGGCGGAATAGGTGAAAAAGTCGGCCTTGTTTTGGGTGAGGGTTAACCAACCGTAGATTTCTTTCCAGGGCTGGATTTCGTCGGGGTGGTGGACATTGTGGAATATGTGGGTGAATCGCTGCCCACCGTGGCGGATGTGTTGGCGGGGTTGGCTGGGAAGAGCTGAAATGGGGTAAAGGGTGGTGATTTAATTCGTCCCGATTTCTCGCAAATTATTGAATGTTATGCATATGCAGTTCATGAATATGCAGGACTATGAGGAGCGGTCAAAAATTCGAAAATTTACAAAATTTTAAAAATCGAGGTTTTTTCTGGAAACTTGTTGAAAATTTCCACTTCGCGCTCAAATTTGCGCAGCAGGAAAAATGTGGACATGATTATTTTGTGCGGTGAACAACATAAAATTGGTCCCATATTTACACGTAAAAGACTTGCATTCTAAGTTTCGTTTACATAATTCTACTCACCTCTTTGTAAATTCTTCATCCACTTGTAGCTGAGAAGGCAACGAATTATAATTTTAGGGAACGGAGAGGCAAGCTCGGGAATCGAAATTTCGCTCTTATCATAACACCCTGCGATGATCGCGTAATTTGCGAATAGATTTGAAATCGTGTCACAATTCTGGGTAAGACATGCAAATATGAAGAATTTTATGTATATATATCTTGCAATCATTCCAGTTAGAATTATTTTTTTTAATCTCCTTGTGATTAAATGGGCTTTTCTAATGTTTATTGCAAAAAAATTGCAATAAAAAACGGCTATTAGAAATACAGTGTAAGAAGTAAAAATAACGTGCCATATTTTGTTAAACAGAGAAAGTACAATGAAAAATGTGACTATATATGTTTGTACAAATCAATATGGTTGACAGATAAATGTAACTTAACCTCATGGTGGCCATAAATATGTAATACATAATTCTACCGGCAAAGTCTCACTTGCGTAGGTTATTTGTTACATAACTTCGTCTGACACATTGCAACCAATTAAATTTGCACGAATTCTTATAAAATACAAATATTTATTTCAACCAGTTTTGAGTTTTTTTAACAAAACATAAATACACCGATTCTAGTTGTTAACTAGGAAAGATTATAAAATTTGAGAGGAAAAAAGATCATAAAAATTATCTTTTTACCATAAAGCTATCCATAAATTTTCAGAAATTGGAAAGCTCTGTAAACTAAGGCATCAATTACGGCAATTTTCTGGGATGGGTGGTATTGTATTTTGGGAGGAGGGCTCCTCTTGTTGGAGGAGCCCAATGCTCAGATCATCCATCAGATCTATTGCATATCCTCTTACTTACACCGTATGACAGTGGTTATCTAGTTGCTCTGGTATAATCCCCATATCTATTGATGAGATATGGGGATCGAGAAACCATTTAAGGATAGTAAGACAGGAAGAGACGCCGGCTTGGCGTAAGCACCACCACTCACCCCTGCACTTACGGGGCCAGTCCCACTCCGCCTATCCTCTACCCACCACTGCCTATTCAATCTTAATGTATGCCCCTTTGGACGCGAATACTGCCACGGAAAGGCAGCATGCTCAGTCCACTCTACTGAGTGTCCAGCTACAATGTGTGTAACTGGCACCCAGGGAGGGCTGCCCCAGCTGCCGAGATATGGGGGATCGAACCATAGACCTTCCGAGTGCCGAAAGCCACCGGTTCTCACCCCCAAGCCAAACAGCCAGGGCGGGATGGGTGGTGGTAAAATGAGTAATTATCTCTCAGTAAGTCTGTGTGAGTATGTTTCTGATATACTTGTCGTTGTATTATTCCATTTTCAGTATACTATTATTTCATTTTCATATTTTAGAGAAATTTTAGTATTCGTTATCAGTGGCGGGGCTAGGATATTTTCAGACGTGGGCACAAGAAAAAAAAGTTCTGAAGAATTACAGTATGCAAATTATTTAATAGTACGATTTTTAATTTCAAATTCAAAACTAATTTTCCCAAGAACAGGTAAATATTAATGTCAAAATTATTTAGATGTTCGTATAAATATACGCGCCAATTATTGTACGTTCTTCTCAAAATGAGAAGGTGTTAGATGTTTATTCCCGATTTTGACTAATTTAGATTATTTCACGCTTAGAAGTAGGCGGACCAATTTTTTGCAGCTTTTTAAATGCACGTAAATATTTTCGCCAATGGCGGAGTTGTTAACTAAATTTTTCAGCCAAGTGAAAATTTTTCAAAATGCTGTTAATTTTCTTCTTTTCATCCGATTTCAAAAATAGCATATTAGCTCAGAGTGTCACTGAGGACATAATTTTTAAAAATCCATTTTTCCAAGGCTTAAGTCTTAAAAAATTAAAGCTTTTTTAATTTAAAAAAATTCGAGCTGACATGAAGTCTTAAAGTTTTTGGAAGCAGATTTTTTAACTGACGAGGACTTGGTGTTCGTGGAACTTTTGAGGTTCGATCAGTATTAAATTTTTACATTTTTTAAATTATTAAATTTGTTTAAATGTCACATTGTTTCATTCCATCAACCCAAAAATACTCAGAAAATTTTACAGAAAATTTTACAGAAAATTTTCGAAAGTATTGAAACCCTCTAAAAAGCAGAGATTACAATTGAATATGATAACGTAACTTTCTGACATCTACCAAATTTGTTCAAGTATCAAGGAAGTAGTAACAATAAATAATTCAAATCTGAATTTGGGTCCCGACGGAAACGGATAAATAGTCCGAAAACCGGAGTTTTTGAAAATTCCGAACGAATTCCCTGGCGGCCCTGGTGCGGGTACGGTTCAGTAAAGGCTCGACTAATGTTCGGCCAGATTACAAAAAGTAGTAGGATTCGTTAATATTTCCGTGCAAAACTCATGTTCGGGGCAGTGGAGAGGCACCAGACTTAAACATCTTGATTTTCTAATACAGGGTGGTCCAAGAAGCTGTATAAAAGTTTAAACCACCCCATTTCAAAGCCGGGATAATAAAATTCCAATTTGAAGCCCAAATCGTGGAGAGCAACTCAGAAAATAGTGTTGTGAATTTTTTTGTAGACCTAATTTGAAAAGTACCCTCACGGTGATCAGGGGAAGGATAGGTACGAGTGAAAGGCTTTTCCAGTCGATTTCCCACGGGAAGCGTTACAAAAAGAGCTGAAGTCATGTTGTCATCGAACGAATTGGCAATTAATTTATAGAATTATACCTAGTAGACATGTTCCAGGTCAATCCAAGAGTGTAACATAATTCTCACCACTAAGGAGGGGAGCTTGCGAGGTTGATAATAACAGATCTCGATGCCCTTTGGATATGTGATAGGGTCTCATGAGTGTACTAAAACCCTGAAGTGGTTTGACTCCATGGCCACATTTGCGCCCGCCACACCCACTCAAAAATGCCCAAAAAACGCTTTCACTCCAGTTTTCACTCACTCAAATCCACGCCAGAAATCCAATTTTACTCGGATTTTGAAATTTCTTTCACCATTACGCTCCCAGATAGTTGCTTTCTTCAATTCCATATCAAACTCAATTT